CTATCCTACTTTTCTCGCTTACTGTTCATCAGAGTTATCCTTTTGCTTTATTGTTCTTGGTTCATCTCGAGGTCACTAAGCTCGAGGTCAAAACTGCTTAAGTAACACTGGTTTGATTCATTCATTTCTTTCATCTATACTTTATATTTCTTGATTATTAATTGGTATTGAACTAAATCACGTATCTTTAAAACCACAAATCAAATTTAATTCTAACTCGTATTTTCGAGGTAAACAGTTTGGCGCCCACCGTGGGGCTAAAGATAATAGTGATTATTTGATTACTGATTCTCATTACACACGTTATTCTTTTACACTTTATCTTCTCAAGATTTTCTGATTCTCAGGATTATACATGTCAAACTCGCAAAATACAAATGTTCATGACAACGAAAGTCTTGGATTTCATGAGAAAAACAACAATGTAGGGGTCGGTGTACCACCAATAAACCCTGGGGAAGTGCCGAATGTGGAACCAGTTGACGTTAGTTCGCACATTGCTTTAAATGCAGATCTAGGCGCAGACCCCGGAGGAAGTGTGCAGGGAAGCCCGATCTGAGGGCCAAGGAACACCAGGTATAGGAGATGGGAGAGTCAGCCTCCAAGTGATATTCGAGATGCTGCAAGCTCAGCAGATCGGCATCGCTCAACTTCAGAGTCAGAATAAAACTTTGAGCATAGCTGAACCAGAAAATACTCGACGTGCTGAATCGGCACTAGAAAGGTCGAACGAAAATGGCTCGGGGACTGACCCCAAAATTATGAGGATGCTCGAAGAGCTCACCAAGAGGATCGAGTCCGGGTAAAAGAAGATTGAAGACAATGACAACAAGGTGGAAACTTATAACTCCCGGGTTGACCAAATTCCGGGGGCACCTCCGATTTTGAAGGGTTTAGATGCCAAAAAGTTCATACAAAAACCGTTCCCTCAGAGCGCGGCTCCGATGCCCATCTCTAAGAAGTTTCGCATGCCCGATATACCCAAGTATAATGGGACAACCGATCCTAACAAGTATATTACTTCATACACTTGCGGGATCAAAGAAAATGACTTGAATGACGATGAGATCGAATCAATATTGTTAAAAAAGTTTGGAGAAACATTGTCAAAAGGAGCTATGATTTGGTATCACAACTTGCCTCCTAACTCTATTGATTCGTTTGCTATGTTAGCAGACGGCTTCGCGAAAGCACATGCCGGAGCCATAAAGGTGGGAACGAGAAAATCAGACGTCTTCAAGATAAAACAAAGGAATGACGAGATGTTGAGAGAGTTCGTGTCTAGGTTCCAGATGGAGCGAATGGAGTTACCACCTATCTCGGATGACTGGACAGTACAAGTTTTTATGCAGGGTTTGAATGAAAGGAGTTCGATTGCATCTCGACAACTAAAGCAGAATCTGATCGAGTATCCAGCTGTGACGTGGGCGACGTACATAACCGTTAACAATTGAAGATTAGGGTCGAGGACGACCAGTTGGGAGCCCCTTCGATTCAGTTCATCCTAACAGGTCGGTAGCTAAGCCCCCGAGGGATACAGCCAGGGAATCGAGGTTAAACAAAGAACGATATCAGCCGTATGTCGATCGGAGAAACAATGGTTCGGGCCGTAATGCTCCTCGAAATAATCGGAGAAACGATCGAGGTCAAAGATCTCGGGGAATCATGAGTAAAAGCGGGTTCGATAAACACACCGACCATGCGGAGGCACCTCGATTGTCAGAATATAATTTCAGTGCAGAAGCGCCACTTTCATCTTTAGTTTCTTCTCGATTTTCTGCCGGAGTTTCACCGGATCGAATTTTCCGATCACCGTCACCTTGTATGCCATTCCATTTGCCTCTATCTTCATCGACAAAATCAGGTCTTTTCAATAGAAATTAGAAAAAAGGAAAATAAAAAAATAACTTAAAACAGAAACAAATAACTATTGAAGAAAGTTTATACATTGGAAATTTAAACATTAAATTCATTATTAGATTCTGTTTTGGATATTCTTTAAAAATCTCATTTTTACATTCTTGGCTTTCTGGGTGTGTCTAGTTTTCTTCTTTTTAATTTTGAGGGCAAGATAAAATTGAATTACTGTCTGCGTATTATTACTTTAATCACCTTGATTAGAAATTTGTTACTCCGGCGTCTTATTTGATATTCACTAGATTTTTCCGGCGTATACTCCGGCGAGGACCCCATTTGACTTCCCTCTTCCCCCATCGATCTTGAAATTTTAATTTTTTGATCAGATAATACCGAAAAATACTGCTTACATCCTTGTGGTTCTTTTCTCCTTCTTGTTTTAATTATTTTATTCTTTATAGTATTATTTTGATCTTTTGGAATTAGGATTTTCGAAAACCTCTTTTCAATTTTTTTTTGCAGTTAGTCTCTATTTTGTTGTTCGTCTGTAGGACTGATTTCTGGGGTATTTTTCCATACTCTATGCCGGCGGAAATCCATCAGTTGCAAAACAATTCCTTTCTTTTCTTCTCTTTTGATTTTTATTTTAATAACGAATACGATCTTCTTGACTGTTACAGTGTCATTAAACGGTAATCTTGTCTATTGACGTTCCTTTAAGTGTGTCGTCATCAGATTCGCGTTTTTCTGCCGCTGGTAACGGTGACAGTCCGACCCGCCTGTATTTTTCTTGGATACGTGGGTGTTTGTGTTTTTTGCAGGTATCACATTTGTGGCTGTTTGGTGGCGGTAGAGAGGTGCACACGCCCAAGCAATAGAGCAGCAACTATACGCCAGGTTCCGCAGCATCTGGAGCATACCAAGTCGAAAGATCCAGGTTCTATTCGTGGGAATTGATCATATCAGCAGTATTCAGCGGATTTAGAAGCGCGTCCCGACTGTGATCCAGGTTCCATCTTTCTTGAATTGTATTTGCGCACATCTATTTACTGTTGCCTTGCCGGCAGTTTTACTGGATTGATTGCTTTATCTATCTTTTCTACTAGCGTTTTAAGCTTAAGGTTTCATCTATTCATTTTAATCCTGTGTTTGCATAGGTTTAGTTTCGTGGACGTGGTAGATTCATTGTTCCAGTGCCTACTCGCGTTACTGTTCTCGTAGTCGCCCCTTCGAGTTGTTTTTAGCTCTCGGGTTCGTAGCCTGTAGTCCGTCGTCTCCATTATTGGTTTTTAGTGGTAGTGTTTACCTAATACCTTTTGTTTATAGTGGCGGTAGTAGACGATGTGAGAGTTAGGTCATGTCCTCGGGTGGGGCTGGGGGTGGGGTCCAGGGGTGGGAAGGGGGGGTAAGAAAGCCTCTAAGTTGAGAATTGGGTCTTGGAACATTGAGAAGTTGACGGGGAAATCAATAGAGTTAGGTAAGATTCTTCAGAAGAGGAAGATTAACATAGCGTGTGTTCAAGAGACTAGATGGAAAGGTACTAGGGCACGAGATGTAGACGGAGATAAACTATGGTACTCAGGGAGCGCTGGGGGAAAGAATGGGGTAGGTATTTTAGTAGACAGGGACCTCAGGGAGCTCGTGGTTGAGGTTAGGAGGGTAAATGATAGGTTGATGAGTATTAAGCTGGTAGTTGGTGGGTTTACTGTAAATGTGATTAGTGCTTACGCTCCTCAGGTAGGTTTGGACCAGGAGGTCAAGAAGCGATTCTGGGAGGATTTGGACAAGATGGTGCGTAGTATCCCGCCCACAGAGAAGTTGTTCATTGGCGGAGATTTCAATGGTCATATTGGGGCTAGTGCTAGGGGTTATGATGATGTGCATGGCGGGTATGGTTTTGGGGTTAGGAATGAGGGAGGTAATTCACTATTGGATTTTGCTAGAGCTTTTGATTTGGTTATAGCTAACTCGAGTTTTCCGAAGAGGGAAGAGCACCTGGTCACATTCCGGAATTCAATGGGCAAGACTCAAATCGATTATCTTCTTTGCAGGAAATGTGATAAAGGTCTGTGCACTGACTGCAAGGTCATCCCAAGTGAGCACCTCATGACACTACATAGGCTCCTAGTTATGGACCTGGAGATCAAGAGGAGTAGGAGGAAGAGGGCAGGGTGCAGGCAACCTAAGATCAAGTGGGATAACTTGACCAAGGACAAAGCTCAGGCGTTAGGGGAGAAGTTGTTGGCTATGAGGGCCTGGATGAGTAGGGGGGACGCGTCTAGTATGTGGTTCACGACTGCGGATTGCATTAGGGTAGCTGCTAGAAAGGTCTTAGGGGTCACGAAGGGCTCTCCTGGGTGTCATAAAGGGGACTAGTGGTGGAATGGAGAGGTTCAAGGTAAAGTGGAAGCTAAGAAAGCTGCTTATTCGAAGCTAGTGGAGAGTACAAACGAGGAGGAAAAAAGGACTTATCGGGAGTGTTACAGAAAGGCAAAGAAAGAGGCGAAGTTAGCAGTTACGACGGCTAAGAATGCGGCGTTTGCTCGTTTGTACGAGGAGCTCGAGGGCAAAGGCGGGGACAAGAGATTGTACCGATAGGCCAAGGTGAGGGAGAAGAAAGCCCGCAATTTAGACCAAGTCAAGTGCATCAAGGACGAGAATGGAAAAGTGTTGTTGGACGAGGCACTTATTAGGAGAATATGGCAGACATACTTCCATAAACTGTTGAATGAAGAGGGCGATAGACGCATTGTGCTGGGTGAGTTGGATCACTCCGAGAGTCGGCGGGATTTTGGGTACTGTAGGCAGATTACGGTAGAGGAGATGGAAGGGGCGATGCGTAAGATGTGAAGGGGCAGAGCGACGGGGCCAGATGAAATCCCGTGGGAATTTTGGAAGAGCACAGGGCGGGCAGGTTTGGAGTGGCTCACTGGGCTGTTTAATGTTATTTTAAGACAAAGAAGATGCCCGAAGAATGGAGGTGGAGTACGATGGTTCCGCTTTACAAGAACAAGGGTGATATCCAAAATTGCAATAATTATATGGGTATCAAGCTGTTGAGTCACACTATGAAGGTTTGGGAGAGGGTGGTGGAGGCCAGGGTGAGGAGGTGCATGTCTATTTCCGAGAATCAATTTGGATTCATGCCGGGGCGTTCGACTACGGAAGCGATTCATCAGATAAGGAGATTAGTTGAGCAGTACAGGGAGAGGAAGAAGGATTTGCATATGGTGTTTATTGCCCTTGAGAAAGCATACGATAATGTTCCGAGGGAGGTCCTGTGGAGGTGTTTGGCAGTTAGCGGTGTTCCGGTAGCGTACATTAGTGTGATTAAGGATATGTAGGATGATGCTAAGACTCGGGTGAGGACTGGGGGGGTGACTCGGAGCATTTTCCTATGGTGATGGGGTTGCACCAGGGATCGACTCTTAGCCCATTTTTATTTGCCTTCGCGATGGATGTATTATCGCGTCACATCCAAGGGGAGGTACCTTGGTGCATGCTATTTGCCGATGATTTAGTATTGATTGACGAGACGCGTAGCGGAGTTTACGCGAGGTTGGAAGTTTGGAGACAGACCTTGGAGTCTAAAGGTTTCAAACTGAGTAGAACCAAGACAGAATACTTGGAGTGCAAGTTCAGTGACGGGACCCATGATGCAGACGTAGAGGTTAAGCTTGATACTCAAGTTATCCCCAAGAGAGCGAGTTTTAAGTATCTCGGGTCTATTATCCAGGGTAACGGGGATATTGACGAAGATGTCGCGCATCGCATTGGAGCGGGATGGATGAAGTGGAGGCTCGCTTCTGGTGTTTTGTGTGATAGGAATGTGCCGCTAAGACTTAAGGGTAAGTTTTATAGAGTGGTGGTGCGACCGGCTATGCTGTATGGGGCTGAGTGTTGGCCAGTCAAGAACTCCCACGTGCAGAAGATGAGAGTAGCAGAGATGAGGATGTTGAGATGGATGTGTGGGTGTACCAGGAGCGATAGGATTAGGAATGAAGATATCCGGGACAGAGTGGGAGTAGCCTCCGTGGAGGACAAGACGCGGGAGTCGAGGCTGCGATGGTTCGGACATGTTAAGAGAAGAAGCATTGATGCTCCAGTTAGGAGGTATGAGAGGTTGGCCATGGAGAATTTGAGAAGAGGTCGAGGTAGGCCTAAGAAGTATTGGGGAGAGGTGATTAGGCAGGACATGACGCTGCTTCAGCTCACTGAGGACATGACCCTTGATAGGAGAGTGTGGAGGTCGAGGATTAAGGTAGAGGGTTAGTAGGTAGTTTATAGTTGCTCACCGATAGTCTTAGTAGTATGCATGTCCCTTCATATTCTTAGACTTTTATTATGTTATGTGGTTTTGTTCGCCTCAGGTATTGTATTCCCTGTTGCTAATATTTGGTACCACTTATCCTGTATCTTTTTTTTTTCCATTTATCTTCCATCTTTCTTCCTCCCTTGCTTTCCTTTTCTTATTCTTCTTGCCCTTCCTGAGCCGAGGGTCTATTAGAAACAGCCTCTCTACCTGCATTAGGTAGGGGTAAGGTCTGCGTACAGACCACCCTCCCCAGACCNTGTTAGGCTAGAAACCCGTGTTTTAGCCGTAGTATTACATGCCAATGACTGCATTTTTACGTGCGTTTGAGTTCAAATGATAGTGAATTGCACTTAGTACGTGTTTTATACCTTGCAGGAAGTGATCCTGAGCTCAAAAGTTAATTTGGAGCTAAATTGATCAATTCGGAGCTTTGAAGTCTGAGTAAAAGCCCAATACGTTAAGTCGGGATCGTGTTCGGAGGTCGTATACCAAGTCCGGATGCTAAAAGAGGACGAAATAAGTTTACTCTGAGAAAATTGCACAGCTGCACCGCATGGTGCGCCGCAAGACGCGGCGCAGCAGTGTAAAATGGTGCCTGACTTGAAAATATGAAGTTGCAGCTAAAATGCACTACCGCGCCGCATGGTGCGGCGCAGCCTGCGGCACGGCTGTTCAACTTTTACAGAGCGAAGTCCTAGTTCGCGTAGAAAAGGTTTTTTTTCATCTGTGCCCGACCCTGCTTGGTATAAATACATGTAAAAATGCTATTTTGAGAGGTTGGACACACTTTTGACATAATTTAGACCTAAGGAGGCTAAGGAGACCGGGGATTCGACCTAAGGAGTCAAGAACACACTGGGAGCAAGGTGGAGAATTCTTCAACGAGTTTTTCCTTACTCTTCCTATCATTCATTGTTGGTTATGATTTTTAGTATTGTAGTTTTACATGCTATTATGAATAGCTAATTTGTTATCTAGAGTTTTGATAGAACCTTTTGTAGGATAAATTGTTGTTATGTTTTTATATAATTGAGACGTAGCTTTTCTCTATTTGTTCAACTACGTTTATATTGTGGTTGGTTGAAGAGCTCTCAATTAGCTATGCCTATTTAGTATGTATTACTCGGGAGAGAGTGCATATTTAGGTAGTTGTTGAACAAGATCACTCCCAAAGTATAAGAGGGATCTATAACTGCGGGTTTAAAGGCGGGATTAGGGATAACGAAGCCTTGGGTGCAATCTAAAGTGAGCTGTAATAAACAAAGCCAGCTAGCGTAACTCGTGAGAGTGCATCTAGTAAATTGTGGTAATTACTCGGGAGAGAGTTACAACAGTCAGAGCGCTCATGACCGGTAGAGAATACTTAGGCGAATTTATAGAAAACGTAGCGGGAAGAATTCCGACAATTGGGGAAATCATAACTCTAGACCTCCTTAATCTTGACTCTAATCATTATCCTTGTTAATTGATAGTTTTACGATTTTCTAGATTTGTTAGTTAAGTAGATAAAGATAAATATTATAATCTTTATAATTAGAAAAGATTATAAAGAGCCCAATACATTAAGCCGGGATCGTGTTTGGAGGTTGTGTACCAAGTCCGGATGTTAAAAGAGGACGAAATAAGTTTACTTTGAGAAAATTGCACTGCTGCGCCGCATGGTGCGCCGCAAGGCGCGGCGCAGCAGTGTAAAATGGTGCCTGACTTGAAAATATGAAGCTGCAGCTAAAATGCACTACCGCGCCGCATGGTGCGGCGCAGCGCGGCTGTTCAACTTTTACAGAGCGAAGTCCTAGTTCGCGCAGAAAAGGTTTTTTTCATCTGTGCCCGACCCTACTTGGTATAAATACATGTAAAAATGCTATTTTGAGAGGTTGGACACACTTTTGACATAATTTAGACCTAAGGAGGCTAAGGAGACCGGGGATTCGACCTAAGGAGTCAAGAACACGCTGGGAGCAAGGCGGAGAATTCTTCAACGAGTTTTTCCTTCCTCTTCCTATCTTTCATTGTTGGTTATGATTTTTAGTATTGTAGTTTTACAT